ACCAAATACAATTTGAGCATGTTCCTACTTCCTAGAAATCTGACATTCCCATAGATCTACGTTTCCTAAGGTAACCTGATATCCTGTGAACCAAATACCCCCTTATAGTAACAACAGTGAGAAAAAGTTATCTGAAGGCCAATTTGAGTCTAGTTTTCTTTGTAAGCCAACTGAAGTGAACTTCTTTGAATAAAAGGATCTTGTGTCATATCTGACTGGAAAAAGCTTAGGCAAAGAAAAGGTGGCGATCCAAAGTTTCAGGGGATGCTCAGCACAGAATGTATTAAGTTATAAAATCAACTGAATGGACAAAGATAAGCATTTATGGACTTTGAATTGCATATGACAGAGCATTTGTGTGTTGCAGGTACCAAAACTTTTACTTCATAGGCTCTTTCCAAATGTCCGCTACTCGATTTGGATTGATGGAAAGCTTCAGCTTGTGGTGGATCCATACCAAATTCTTGAGAGGCATGTCAGCTCTTTAACTCATTTGCCTTTCATCTTTTATATGTGCCGAAGAGTGTTCTTTTGGTTTGGTAGAGCTCCTGTGTGCTGGTTAGGGCATCTATAATTTTTTAAAATTTTAGTAATATTGTTTTCAATTTACACAGTATTTTGTTTAAGCTTTTACTGTAAAGTTTCATGCATATCACATTATCACATTCTTGGATTCTCCGTCCTGCAGTACTTACAGAAGGCTGAATCTGGAACTTTTCAGATTCATTCCCCCAGCCCCCTCTTCTTTTTGTTCCAAAGCATTTGCTTTTAATAATTTTTTGTTTCATTTGATGCTCAGGTTTTTGTGGAGAGAGAATGCTACTTTTGCTATTTCAAGGCATTATAGACGCTTTGATGTATTTGAAGAAGCTGAAGCTAATAAAGCTGCAGGAAAGTACAATAACGAATCCATTGATTACCAGATCAATGTTTATAAACGGGAGGGTTTAACGCGATATTCTGAGGCTAAGCTTCCTATAACAAGTGGTAGGTCCCTCTTTTGTTTTTTATTTTTCAGTTTATTTGTGTCTCAAAACTTACTCTTCCCTTATCCAAATTCTGCAGATGTTCCTGAAGGATGTGTAATCATTAGGGAGCATATTCCTATTACAAATCTCTTTACCTGTTTATGGTTCAATGAGGTTGATAGATTTACCTCCCGGGACCAGTTGAGCTTTTCCATTGTAAGGGATAAAGTGATGGCAAAAACAAACTGGACAGTCAATATGTTTTTGGATTGTGAAAGGCGAAATTTTGTGCTACAGGTAATTTTTTTTTTTTTCTTTCTATCCCAAAATGGAGGTTTGTCAGCCCAGAATTGAGGACGATTATAAGATGTGATTACAAATGGGATTGGATTGTTAAGCCCGTTCTGGTCTAGAGAAGTAATGGGAAATGAAAGTAATAAAATTTATACGGAGTATAAAACAACAAATCTCAAAGGGTGGGGTTAAGTGATCTAGAGGTAGGTTGGGGGAGGGAGAAATTGGTTAATTTTTATCCCCTAGCAGATGGGATTGCATCTCCTCGGTTTCTTGCCTAAGAGAGGCAATCCTGACCTTCAACTCTGTTCCAAACAGTTGACTATTGCTTAGATTGATATACCGGATCCTCCTATCCCCCTTAACCAAATGACTTCTCTGTGTTCTGGTTGAACTTGTTTTGAATCTAAGAACCATTTATAGACAATGAGGTTGTTGGTCCTGTAAACTTGATCAAGGAGTAGAACATGTCTGTTGAGTTCTCTTGACTGCAATTAAGTTACTTTCTATGCTGTCCTTGGAGCTATATGTTTCAGAAGTGAATTTGTGTCTACTTTCATTCCAGTGCAATCTTTCTGAAATTTCAGTCTCTGCATTCAAACTTTTGCAGGCATATCATAGAGATGTACTGGAGCAAAAGGCTCAAGAGGCAACTGTAAGAATTCATTCTCATCCTCCACCAGCTTTGGTTCGTGATAGGTCGGCAGTGGCTGTGAAATCTTCAGTTAGGAAAAGCCCCAGGCGCGGAAGAGGTGAAAGGAAGTCTGGTTCTAGGCGGCATCGGAAAATTGGAGCTGGAAAGAGGAACAACACATCAATTTGATTCTTTTTTCTTTTATGCAAAGTCAAATCTTTGCTCTGTTTTTTTTTTTTTTTTTTGGTGTCTATATTGAGCAGCAAGGGAAGAACAATTTTGATAGAGTATTCTTACACGGAAAAGACATTAGTTCTAATTTTTGTTTGATGATGTGAAATGTGAATATCAATTTGTTTACACTGTAGATACCAATTAATTGAAATAATAGGTTCATTGATTTTCCTCTAGCAAATGGTGCTGCCATTTTTATAAAATTTTCCCAAACAGATTGAGGATATACAGACATACAGTGGTATGCCTTTATATGCCATCGAAATCTGTTAATTTCTTGTACACTTGTATGTTTGGTTCTTGGAAAACTATTGAGGAATTGAATTTAAATGATATATATATATATATATATATATATATATATATATATATATATATATATATATATATATATATATATATATATATATATATATATTGGAGATGGTTCACGTGCCAAGGGTCTCTCAGGTAGGGATGGCAATGGGTCGGGTGTGGGTCGGGGAGGGCTACATCCATCACCCGACCCACCTTATATTTTCTCCACCCACCCCCACCTCCAACCCGCATCGGGTGGACTTTTTCAGAACCCACCCCCACCCCCACCGGGTGCGGGTGCCCACTACGGGTACCCACCCCTTATCATCTTATTATGTTTTTCAAAAAATAATATTTAAATTATTTACACATAATAAAAAAATAAAATCCATTAGTGATACTAAAACATAAATAATGGAAATATTTAAATATAATAACTAAATTGTTAATTTTTAAAAATAAACTTAGTAGTTTTGATATAAAAAATAGTAAAAAGATACACGGAGTTATATAAACTATTATAAATAACTACATACTAGTATTTATTTTACTATTATATATATATACACACACATGGTGGGTCGGGTGGGGTTCTAGGCGGGTCTTGTACATAGAACCCGAATCCAACCCGACCCACCGCGGGTTTTCTTTTTTAAGACCCACCCCCGACCCACCACCCACCATCACCCAAAAAAACCCGATCCATGCGGGGTGGATTCGGGTGGATATCCACGGGTCGGATTGAAATTGCAATCCCTACTCTCAGGTGAAAAATGGGATGAGATCCGAAGTGAAGGAAAAAAAAAGTGCTTCCAGGCAACATGGATGTGAATGGTCTTAAGTGTCTCGAACTGATGCACTTTAAGTGTCAAACTTATGTATCTTAAGCTCTGAATTGATGCACCTAAGTCTCGAACTTATGCACCTTAAGTCTTGAGCTTATGCACTTTAACTTTTGAAATGATACACCTTTAAGTGTCGAAATTATGCACCATAAGTACTGAATTGATGCACCTTATCGTAGTGATGTTTTCAACAAAAAAAAAAGAAAAAAAAAAAAAAAGTTTCGAAGTGATGTACATACTGAACTGATGCACCTTAAGTCTTTAAGTTTCGAACTTATGCACCTTAAACTGAAAAATAATGCACCTTAAGCTTCAAATTTATGCACTTAGAGCATGGAAGTCGATATTCCTAATGAATCAAAGTTATGCACCTTAAGAGTTAAATTTATGCACTTTAAGCTTGAAATTTATACACATTGAGTCTGTAACTCGTGCACCTAGAGTAATATAAACATAATCGCGCTAAGGGTCCGTTATGATACCCAAAAAATGTTTTTCTGGAAAACAATTTGTGAAAAAAGGGTTTTTTTCTAAGATTTTTTTAAAATTTTGTTAGCATTTGGTTGAATGGTAGAAAATAATTTTTTTCATATTTAGTTAAATTAAAAAATACAAATTGTAATGATATTTTATTTTCTAAAAAAATAACAAAAATCTATTATAAAATATTAATTATTTCAATAATGAGAATAATTATTACTTATATTAAAATAACATTGAGTTAATACTCAAAATCGTCCTCGACTATAGTGGTTTTTCTCAATTTCGTCCTAAACGACTTTGATGACCTAATATCGTCCCAAACTTTTGTGTTTCGCTCAATTTAGTCCCAGTCTTTTGTGTTTTTGCTCAATTTAGTCCCTCATTTGTTATTCTATCCATTTGGTGTTAAATAAATAGACAATTCAGTAATTTTAATATTGACATCTCTTTACTCATAGACATGTGAACTGCGAAATCCTTTTTTTTTTACGAATTATTAAATTTGATTTGCAGGTCCGGGAGTAAATCTGGGTGTAATTCATACAAGAAAGAAGAATTTCGCATTTCACAAGTTGAAAGTAAAGAGAGATCAATATTGACATTACTGAATTGTCCCTTAATTTAACACCAATTTGACGGAATAACAAATGGAGGACTAAATTGAGTGAAACACAAAAGTCTGGGACGATATTAGGTCACCAAAGTCGTTTAGGACGAAATTGAGAAAAACCACTATAGTCGAGGACAATTTTTGGTATTAACTCAAATAACATTATAAATTAAAATTGATTATAGTTATAAAGATTACAATAACTCTAATAAAAATATGTAAATAAATAACCTTTTAACTTGTAAATTATTATAATAAAAATAAATACATACATTAATAGATATATAATTTTTTTAAAAAAAAAAACATAAATTGATAAATATAAATTGTAACTTAAATTTCTTTTAAAAAAAAGGTTGTGGCCAGACTATATTAAGATTTTTATTATTCGCTTTGACTTAACTCGACTCGGTTCAATCCATATTTAATCTGACAATGATAAATATAATCGAGGAATAACCTTATCATGAGTATATATAATAATAATAATAATAATAATAATAATAATAATAATAATAATAATAATAATATATGAAAATTAAAAATTAAAACAGAAAATAATTAAGAGATTAAAAATATTTTTTTTTTTACCTATTACAAATGTTGGGGCGAATTTGACATTTCAAACTTAAGCCTAAAGGTCGGTTAGTCGGCCCTAGAAAGTAGAAACCTTGTAATATGTAAAGCCTCTGACTATAAAATTTTCTCCGCCTCGCTCGTACGCTGTATTAGCAGTCGACCCATCAACTCAAGAACAGCAAGATCGAAGCAGAACATCAAAGAAGGTTTTTTTTTTTTGGGTCCTTTTCTAATTGTATTTTTATTTTTATTCAAATCTGAAGTACATGAATTGCGTAAAGGCTTATTCGTGCATACTGCTTCTGTTTTAATTGTCGGAGTATCTCCCATTCTATTAATTCACCTGAAATTGTCCTTTTTTCGGATTTGATTTTCTTTTTTCCTCCTCGAAATTGCATTGCGATATTGTATTTTTGTTGAAATTATGATGCAATACTGTTTTTAAAAAAAATTTTGTTTGTGTTGTTGAAGTTATGATTTGTTTGTTTGTTTTTTTTTTTTTTTCCTGCTTATTGAACTCCTACTTTATTGCATGGAATTTCAAAGCAGAGGTGCAAAAGATGGTTTTGTTGATGGTTTAAATGTTTCATATACTAAAACAGGACAAAAAAATCAAATAATATGATTGTAGTTCTGTGCAATTCCTGATTTTTCTAGTTACTTTCTTGCTGGGAAGAAAGGATTAACATTTGATGCTGAGATTAGTGCTTAGATCATAGTCAGTAAAATGCTGTAAAAGCACATAGTATACCCACTCTCTTTAGAATATCTATGAATCTTAGTAGAACAGGTGGACAAAGTAGTAGTCTCTGTAAGATGAAGTTGAAGCAAGTTTAAATTATTTTCTATTAGGTTCATCCTTTTTTGTTGATAGATGAAGTAATGGTGAAAGTTGGGTGCTTTTCAATGATTTCCACCACTCACACCCCAGGGATTGTGGATTTGTGATATTTTGGTGGTTGTAGATTTATTAATGTTAGGTTCGGTTTCTCTTAAGAAGTTCACTTATCTTTGTAATGCCAAAAGATGAATTCATGGATGTAATAGGATCTGGATTGCCTTTCAGAACCATTTGTCGCCATGTACACCTACTGCATTTGCATCTAATTTCATCCTCGGGCAATGAGGAGTTTTGATGTTCTAGAATCAGATTAACCACTGGCACTTATTTTCTCTAGCTGGGTTACTCATAAGGCTCCTTTGAGTAAATCCGAACGATCTCAAGACAATCTTTACTCAAATCTGTCCAGAATAAGTGCTGATTGTTCCTTTGAATGAAAGTGCATTTTGGTTACTATCAACAATGCATTGAAGTTTCAAAAAGTCATATGAATATCACAAAAGAGAAATAAGATTCGGATGCTGGAAAGATAAAAGTATATACATTCAAATATGTGTTTTTGGTTTCCCTGTCTGGATTCTGGTTAATGTAAACAATAAGGATTGCTCGAGAGATGAATACATTCTTGTTCTGTTTACTGTTATAGATGTTTGCTTGTTACTTTGACATTTGATGGTTGTGCTTCTATTTGAAAAACCTCACTTGTTTAGGCATCTATCGCTCTTATTTTCATATTAAATATCGATATATCATCCAGGCTATCTTCACAATGGGTGGACTGCCAATAGAGAGCTCATCATGTGCAATAGCTTTACCAAAATCACCAGAAGACAAGAGCCCAGCAACGTCCACTTCCACTGGGCCTGTTTCTAAGCCAAAAAAGAAGATATGTTGTGCTTGCCCCGACACTAAGAAGTTAAGGGATGAATGCATAGTGGAGCACGGTGAATCTGCTTGCAAGAAATGGATAGAGGCTCATCTCAAATGCCTTCGCATGGAAGGCTTCAATGTTTAAATTGGGTGATAGAAGCATATGCCAGATTGAATCAGAGTACCTATACTATGCAATTGACAGTTTTTATTTTTTAAGTTTTTTAACAATAGGATTTCACAGCATGAAATTTTGCGAAATTGCTCAGATTTGTTGGGCCTTTACATACATTGATCTGCATTACTTATAGCAGATGCTTACGAATAATGCAGAGGTGGCTAGGTCTCTGACTGTGGTAGCAATAGAATCCAATGTTTTTTCATTGTGTAGAAAAGCAGTGTGGGATTAGATCATATTGCATTTCAGGCTATTAATAGTCAGATAAGGATTATTATGAATGCTGGGCATGCATCACCTCCAAGTGTGTTTTGGTATAATTGTGTATGTTATATTTTCCTTTAGGGCAAAGGGTGAAATTCCTTTGGTTATATATATATATAACTTTTAGCTTTTTAATAAAGATAAAGCTCATTTTTTTTTCCATCATATCAATATACACACAAATTTTTTAGTTTTAGAACAACCCTAACCTTGAATCTAGTGACCTGTAGTGAAGTCCATCAACATGTTGTTTTACGCAATGAAGCTCAAAAGCAATTAGTAATTTATAATAATGTGTCATTAGGGTTTCGACGATACTCCTACAACATTCTAATCAATTTTGGTTACATTTTGAACAATTTCGAGACCATCTTTGATGAAATTAGAGAATGCGACCAATTGTCACATTTTTTCACATAAACAAGGCAATTGACGTTGTCGTTAGGAGTTGATTTTGTTCTGGTTCAATGACAACGGTCAACCATAATTAAAGATGGTCAGCGACATTTAGTGGTGGTCAACGGTAGTCAACGGTGGCTTGTATATTGGTAAAAAATGAATCTATTTGAATGATTTTAATTAGTGTTTAATTGCACTTTCATAAGTTTAGTGATCTAATTATACTTTTGTGTAAAGTTGAAAGACCTATTTGATCATTTTCTCTATAACTATAATATAATAACAAAAAATAACATTTAAATTTACAAGGTAGTATGTATTCTATACTCATGATCCTATGATGACCATCTATTAAAAGGATAACAGAGGTGTCATCATGCTACATAGTAATATATTTATATCAAAACCATAAATATATTAATATGAGAAAAAGTTGTAAGAATGTGAATATGGTAATATCAATTTGTTTGTTTGCTTTAAGGGATGTGAAATTTTCAAATTTAATTTTAATTATTTTTTGTAACCTTCACTGGAATCACACTATAACATTCTTAAGTCATGTGAAATTCTAGATAATATTATATTATCTCAAAACATTCATTGAATCAACATGTTAATAACACAAGAAACTTGGCCAAAAAAAAAAAAAAAATCAAATAAGCATGTTAATCTATACATCCAAAACGATGAACAAAATAACCAGTAAAAGATATGAAAATTAGCCTAAAAGCAAACTTCTATGCAAAATCATCCAATTGTTATATTGTGTACCAAATTAGGGATCCACCATGCGCATGCCGCATGGTACATCTTATCCAAATTATGTGCAAATATATTATCTACTTTCATCAATAAATTATGTACATATATATTACAATTAATATATTATGTACATGTAGTTAACATATTATGTACATTCAATTCATTTATAGACAATTAGGTCTATAATATGTTGGCGAAATGTACATAATATATTAATTGCAAGTACATAATTTGAATGTCATTTTATATCAGACTTGACATTGCAAAGTGAACCATGGTTTATAGTATAATCTACGAAGCAAAAGCATTTTGGAACCCAAAGCTTACACCAATTGGTAAGCCAAAAAAAATTCCGGAAAACTCAATCAATTAATTATTTTATAGCTTAAGTTATCATCAATTCCTACTTTCAACACCTGAGAGTGACAAACCATGTTTATTTTAGTAAAATCCTCTACCATGCTACAAATTTTTTCAATAATGAATCATTAAAAAGATTTTGGTTCCTGCATATTATTCCACAACCACAAATTGGTTAAAACATATTTAATAAGTCTTTCTTCATATGTCACAAATGTCAATCAAAAACACTTCTATCAATCTCTACTTTTGTCAATGTCCAAACTTACCTAGAATAAGCACAAAGGTGTGTGAAGTTAAAAGTTGATTCCCCTTTCACATTGCATACAAGACAAATATTATATTTCTTATGTGCCATTCTTTTAGCCAATCCTACTGGAGGGCAATAATGTTTGACCCTCTACTAAAAGATTTTTATTGTTGGTGGATATAATTAAAATCCTACAATTTTTTTTTTTTTTTTAATAAACCCCACAAGATTTTCTAAGATTTGTTGTTCAAGTTATGTGAAGTTGAGGAATTTTGGAATGTGATTTTTAGGAAGGGTAGATGGATGATAATCTAATATTCATTTTTCAAAGTAAATTCTCTCATTGTCCAAAATGTAATATAAGCTCATTATCTTGTATTTTTTCTTTAATGAATTTTTCAAAACAAATTAGTTCAACATCTTCATCAGCTCGTAAAAGGAATCAATTCCCCACCCCACTTGTTTGCACATGTTAGAATGCAAAAAATGGTGCATATCTCAAAATGTGAGTATTTATTCTATGGTTTTTCCCCTAATTTAACTACTTTAATTTTTTTTTAATAATATTAGAAAATTAGCTAAAAATAAATTTTTAAATAATCATTATGAGGTAATATATTAAATAGGGTCTACTTCCAAATTGGGTCAGATCAAAAGTGGATTTGAGTTCAATTTGAGGTAATATATAAGTCGAATGTTTAATTTGATATATGAAAAAATTTCAATTTTGGTCCACTGACTATTGGAGTTGTTTTAATTGCAACATTTGACTTTCAAAAATGTTAATTTAGTACCTTGACTATGCAATTTCTATCAATTTTGGTCACGCCGGCCAAATTGCCGGCCAAATCTCACCGGAAAAATTTAATAGGGCAAATAATGAGGGTGTTTTAGTCATTTTACTAATGTTTTTTCTTCTCGATGAACTTCCCTCCATTTCCGGCGAGATTTCTCCGATAAGCTTGTCTTTGATTGCTTCGTATCAACCTTCCTTGTCGAGGATCTATCGTTGATTTCTGACTTATCTACCTGCAGGCAAAATTAAACAATGCAACTTTCTCTCAAACACAGTTCCATCACAGCGTGAAAATTACATACAAACCAGACAGAAGGCAACGGGGAATTAGAATCTCACCTGGTCAACATCATCAGAATCATTGTGCTGCTCTTTCTCTTCATCCTCATCCTCGTCAAGAATATCAAAGGGGTTTCTTCGAGAAGCAGAGGAAGATTCGGGGGATTCAGAATCATCTTCACTGTCTTGTTGGTGCAGAGCAGCTTCTTGCTCTTTCAAGATTTTCTTCATTAATCGAGCCGACATTCTCTCTCGCTTTCTTTGCACTTCTCCTTCCTCCAGTACAAATTCCTAAACTCAAAAACTATTTTAAAAAAAATAAAATCAAATGGTGACAAAATTCAAAATGGCTAAACATTTGAACCAATGTTATATGAAAAGAACCTTACATAGTTATGGTTCTCTGTAACAAGAACTCATGGTTGTGGATAATTGGTTCAATTGACAGTTTCTTTAATAGCTACAAAAATCCCCAAAACGCAAAATCCCTAGCTCATTAATCCAAGAAATCTCGCTGACAGTTTCTTCAAAAAATCTCGCTGTCCCCTTTTCCCGCAGAATCAGATGCCAAAAATCCAAGAATTCAAGAAAAATGTTGGAAGAAAGTCGCCGGAAATAGAGAAGAACGCCGTCGGAAATGGGGAAGATCATTGGAGAAGAAAGAAAATAGGTAAAATGACTAAAATACCCTCATTATTTGACATATTAAATTTTTCTGGTGAGATTTGGCCGGCAATTTGGCCGGCGTGACCAAAATTGAAAGAAATTACATAGTCAAAGTACTAAATTAACATTTTTGAAAGTCAAGTGTTGCAATTAACACACCTCCAATAGTCAGTGGACCAAAATTGAAATTTTCTCTTTGATATATTATACATTCAAAATGGATAATAAGTAAATAAAAATTGATTATGAAAATTTACTAATTGAGTTGAGAAAAATTGAGCTTGGGCCCTATGAGGGATTTTTAAGTAGCATTTTTCCTACATTTAGCGATGGATATGAGCTTGTATTAATATAAAATACAATTCAACTCTTTTAGAAGTTTGAATTGTATATCATAAAGATTATCTATTACGCTTGTGATTGAAAAGAATTATTATTTTCTTTTTGTATGTATCACAATTTTTATAAGATTTAGAAATATGTATTAGGTTGCTAGTGATAAACAAATAATTTTTTTTAAAATTTAAGGTATAATTTAGATTATTAAACTCAATATTTAGGATATCATATTTACATTGATTCAATTTTATATTTTTACCATATTTTTTTAATAGAAAATTAACGAATAACAAAGATAAAATTTAGTACAAAAAAAAACAAAGATAAAATTTAGTAAAGTTCAAATAGTATTTCCAAGAATCATAGAACAAACTAAAAAATAATAATGTCAATTGAATAAACTACTCATTACTTATTTTTTGAATTGTTTTTTAAAATAAATTTTACACAAAATGAAATAGAAACAATAATTTTTTAATAAATAATTTTTTTTAGTACTAACTCTGTTACAATACTTTATTTAATTTCATTATATATGTTTCTTTTTCCTTCTTTATGGCCTCGTTTAAAAACAATTTTATTTTTTTAAAAAATAGCAATATAATAATTATATGGTAAGATTGTAAGAAGGCATCACTTTAACCTTTACAAAGCTTTATTAAGTATACAATATGTAACTTTTAAATTAACTAGCTTAATATAATGGATACCAAGACTATATGGTATAATAGTATCCGCGTTGGACTTCCATTTGAAAAAAATTGTGAGTTCGAGCCTCCAATAACAATTATATCCAAACATTTAGGTTGGTGAAAACACCATTTTGCTAATTACATCCAAACATTTAAAATTTGATTAAAAAAATCTTAAATATTTGTATTTTGTGACAATATAATTATACATTTATACTAAATACATAGTAATTATATTAAAGATCTTTAATTTGACAAATCAAACATTTGTGTTTTGTAACTATATAGTATAGTTTTCAATCCAAAATGGAATCCAATCTAACCTACCTATTATTGAGTTTGTGCATAATTTATTTTAAAAATTACAACATAATATCATTTTTTTTTTTAAAAGAGATAATGTTTGATTGGGTCCTTCGTCTAGTCACCTATACATGCACAATGACATAATTTTGTCATTGACTTTAAAAGTTACATTTTTTTGTTCATTTGTACATAATTTAGTCCATAGAAAAATCATCAAATGAATATTAAATTTCAGAGAGATAATAACGAAAATAGTCCATCGACTATCTCATAATTCTCAATTTAGTCATCAATTACAAACTCACCTAAAATGATCTCTCAATCATGCAAAAATTTACTCAATTTAATCCTCAATATAGGTAACGAAGGACTAAAATGAATAAAATTGTGCATAATTAATGCACCATTTCATGTAAATTAATAATTGATGATGACCAATTTAGAAATTATGATATAGTCGAGATCATTTTCAGAGTTGAGCACAACCTAAGGATTTTTTTTCATTGGATCACACACACACACACACACGCTTATTAGTTTTACATTTATTTTATTTAGTATTAACTTCAACAAGGAAAAAATTCTTAAATATATAATTTTTTTTGAAAATAAAGTCTATAAATCCTAAATTTTCCTATAATAATATTGTAATGCTCTCTCTCTCTCTCTCTCTATATATATATATATATATATATATATATATATATATATATATATATATATATATATATATGTATGTAGAAAATTATAATATTATTATGGGAAAATTTAAGATTTTTAGACTTTATTTTGAAAAAAAATTATATATTTAGAAGTATTTTCCTTGCTGAAGTGAATACTAAATAAAATTAATGTAAAATTAATAAGCATATTATGCTAAGTAGTAAGAAATTTATATATAGAAAATTACAATATTATTATAGGAAAATTTAGGGTTTTTAGACTTTATTTTTTTTAAAAGTATATATTTAGGAGTTTTTTCTTTGTTGAAGTTAATACTAAATAAAATAAATTTAATATTAGTGAGCATATTATTCTAAGTAGTAAGAAATTTATATATATAGAAAATTACAATATCATTATAGAAAAATTTACGATTTATAGACTTTATTTTTTAAAAAAAATACCGATCGTTGTTGAAGATAATACTAAATAAAATAAATATAAAATGAATATGCATATTATGGTAAGTAGTAAGAAATTTGATAATTTATTTAAGTAATCACATCACATTGCCCATAAAATAAAATTTACTTAATCAGCAAGAATAGATGATATGGACGGGGAAGTAGAATTTAGAATGTAGAAAAGAGTGTAGAAAATGATCAGAATTCCAACCGTGATGACACCAAAACAAACAAAGGAAAGTCTGCCCTTATAAAGAATGAAATGATTCCCATTTTTCACCCTTCAAACGCACTCTGAATAAGCCACCTTGGAGTTCGACCGCCTCTACTTAGCAGGCGCCAAAGCCACTGTCGGAAAATCAAGATTCTCCCGAGAAGGAAAGGGTAGGGATGAAGTGAGAAATTTACGGGGTTCTCTTTTTGTGGGTTGTTTTTATGTATGTAGGGATCCTCGGGAATTTTATTTTTTCTGATGATTATCTGAAAAGTGAAGAGATTGACACAGCCCAAAACTCTCCTTGCCCTAACTGCCTCTTCTATATTGGGAAGTCTTCTTTTTGTTTTCTAGAAATCCACCCATGGAATCTCCGCCGCCGCTCGCTCGATACGTTCCCCACAGTTCTAAGTAAGGACGCACACAACCCACTCTCTGAATTTTATTTTATATATATACTTATCCGTGTTGGATTGGTGCAGGAAAAGAGTGTTCCCCGGCGGAAGCTCAATGGAAGAGGAAGTCGTTGAGATTGCGCCGCCGATTAATCGGACTTCCAACTCTCTTAAACGGAAGGAGGTAGGGAATGCTCACGCCATTTGAAAACAAAAAAACTTTATTATATCTTATCGTGCTATGTAGATTTTTTCTTCCTCAGTTTCTCTCTTAGAATTAGTTGTATGTTTGGTAGTGGATTATTAAGCATGGGACTTAGTTGGAACTATCTTGTTTTATGGCTCCAGAATTCGCCAGTTATAATGTTGTTGATGACTGGGTTTAGTTTTCTTTTTAGCTTTTATTGTTTTGGTGTGATTATTTGATATTGGTGCATCTTTGAAATAGGAATAGGGAGGGGGGGGGAATAAATTTTTTTGGCTCTTGTAAGCAAGGTTTGGGAGGTCTTTTTCTTCTTTTAGCAATTGGCACTAGACAAAGTTAATCTTGGATAAAAATCAGAATGAGGAGGAAACAATCTTAATTTTTTCAGTGTTGTGCTTTTCCTCACTTTGGTTCTCAGCCATCCGGCCATCCCCTTCATTTATATTTTGAAAACCCAATATTTGTAGGAACTGAGTAATGTTGTAAACCTGTCATCTAAAGCATGCTTGTTAAGAGAATCCCCTCTTAATATGGATCCACTAATGTCTGAACAAAAAACCAATGTTTTTTTTTTTCTTGAAGTAGTTGTGGAAAGGAGCTCTAAGTGCTAAAAGATTTTTTGAATCTTAAAATGACATTAAATCTTTTTTTTTTCCCCTTAGCATTTGATTTGTTTCTCTTGGTGGCAAGAATAATGGAACCCGTTTTTCCAGATTTATGATATAATTGATGTTGACATCGAAGAAGATTGTAATGATGCTCGGCTTGGAGAAGGGAGTTTTATACCAAATGGCAAAGGGAAGGTAATTTTAGTTTCTTGTTTTACTAGGAATATATTGCTGAATAATAATCTTAGTTATGGGCCTTACATTTGTCCAATAATTCTATTTCTTAGGAGATATTTGTCGATCTTTCACTTGGTACCGGTGGTGGTTCAGAAAATACTGCAACAGTCAAGGGGTTTCTGACTAAAAATAAGAATTTCACTTCTGAACCACAAAATGTAATAAACTTGGAGGACTCTGATGACTTATATGGAGATAATGAGCATATGGACATGTTTTATGATGAGTCAGCGCTTGATCAGTACAAAAATTTGCAAGTGTACCTTGATAGAATGGATGTTCCTCCAGGAATTGAGGCATCAATTCCCTGGTGGCCTGCTCCTAGTGGGGATAAATTGAGTTCAATCTGTAGCAGCACTCCATCTTATTTGTCTCCTGCGCAGATGAAAACTGCAAGCATGTCTTCTGGGAAAATGTCCACTCCATCTTCTGAGTTAGTTAACTTTCACAAGATGAAGGAAAAGGTAACGTCAAGAAGTGGCTCCACGTTTGGGGATAGGTCTGGTAGGACCAGGAAGCTTGGGATATCTGTGCCATTTGTAGAACCTGCTTTAGGGGTGAAGAGATCAGCTGCAACTGGTAGTTCAGTTGGCACTGATTCAACATACAAAGATTCTGTAGAGTTATCACCCCCGGGGCAAGGGCAGAAGGTATTTGGTCTTCCTGGGTTCTCTCAGTCTAAAAAGAGGTCACAACGTGCCACCACCTCTTTTGGTTCACATAACCTATCTACTCCTCTGGAGCCTTATTTTCCTAAAGTTACAACAAAGTCTTGGATGGCTGATTGGATGAATGTCCTCCCAACTTCAACGAACCACTCTATTGCAGATCCTCCAAGTTTATTTTCTCACGTTCTTCATGATGGTGTTTTGCCTCCTGTAGGATTTGTCTCCTTGTACCCAGATCCTGTCACAAGTCACAAGAATACAAATGCTACAGAAAATGCACCAGCTTCAATGCAGTCTACAAATATAGATGAAATTGTTGAGAGATTCCGTGCTTTCAAAAAGTTTGACACTGTGCAGGATTATGCAGACCATCATTATTCTAGAAATGCTTCCAGAAAAGTGAACGCGGTAGGTCTATCTTTGTCCTTTGAAGCCATTTCAATATTTGTTCTCTAATTTTTCCTTATATTTATTATTCTTCATGTTATAGGCATCAAAAACATGGGTCAAAAGAATACAGGAGGAGTGGAAGATTCTGGAGAAAGATCTGCCTGGTAACCTTGAACTTTCACTTTTTAAAATTCCTTATATTAGCAAATGGAATTCCAGTTATGAGCCTTTTGAAGTTCATTAATAGGAGTAGTCATCTAATGGTCTGTTTTGGTTTGGAGGCTAATATTTCTGGTTTGGCATTTTTATCAAACCAAAACTGAACCAAATATTTCGATTTGGTTTGAGTGCCAAACCCAAACCCCAAAATTTAAGTTTGGGTTGATGTATAAAGAAAAATCTGTAAGTTACTAAAAATCAGTTTGGTTCTTGTCTAGCATTTATTCAATCATAGAATATCATGGTTGGTGATTATGTACTAGAAGAATTAGTTCAACTTTTGGTTGCATGGCAGTGGTTTTTCTACCTTTAGTCTATGAATTTAAAATCAATGAGATTTGGTACTCCACTATCACAACAATGCCAATTTTAGTCCTTTGTAAGAAATTCCGTTCAGAGGCTATCAATTTGGTTCCTTATTTTGCTGAAGCTACATTATGAGAAAGACAATTTTAGCTTTAGGGGAACTTCATTTCCTGCAAAAGCTACAGATTGGAAATTGATAAATAATATACAGATTACTGGCATAAAGCTTCTATCAAAGGGCATATAATTTGAAAAGATTTAGGGGCTGTTTGGTTCAAAATGGGAATGGGAATTGGAATTAGAATCAAATACTTAGTAATTGTTATGACTTTTAGTAAAAGTATGCCATCTGTTTTGTATAAACATTGGAATCGGAATCAATAATAATTTTGGTAACCTTCAATATTCTGCAGTTGCCTTGATTTTTACCTTACTCAAAATCATGTTTTATTGAGCAGATACGATCTTTGTTAGAGTCTATGAATCAAGAATGGATATTTTGAGAGCAGTTATAGTTGGAGCTGCAGGAACTCCCTACCATGATGGGCTTTTCTTCTTTGACGTTTATTTTCCTAGCAGCTATCCTAATGTTCCACCGGTATGTCACATGGTTTGTTGTCTATTCTCTTATGCACTATCTTATGACTAACAGTTTTCAATAAAACTGTTCCCAGCAAGTGTACTACCATTCTGGTGGTCTTCGTATTAATCCAAATTTGTACAACTGCGGAAAAGTATGCCTGAGCCTCCTCAACACTTGGAGTGGCCATGGGAAGGAGAAGTGGATGCCTCGTGAATCAACCATGCTGCAGGTTTTGGTTTCTATACAAGGGCTGATTTTGAATGCAAAGCCCTATTTTAACGAGCCAGGATTTGCTGGATCCGAAGGGACAGTTGCAGGGGAGAAGAGCTCGCTACAATACAATGAGAACACATATATCTCAAATCTCAGAACAATGCTTTACTCCATACGGAAGCCACCTAAGGTGCATTACATGTTTTCCTTTTGTATAAATTTCGCTTTGATATTTGATCTTTTTGTCTAATCGAGAATAACAAATCCAAATGGAATAAATAGGGAATATAATAAAATGTTAGATGAGCTTTGTAATTGGATGATAGTGATGGCCTTTTCAAGCTATTGGTTTAATCGCTTTACTGATTAGGATTTGCTCGTCTTTTTGTTTTTGGCAGCATTTTGAGGATTTAGTCAAGGGACACTTTGTTCTGCATGCTCAAGATGTTCTGGTGGCATGCAAAACATATATAGATGGTGCTCAAGTAGGTAGCCTAGTTAGCGGAGGGGTGCAGGATGTTGATGAAGGTGACAAAAGCTGTTCAGAAGTTTTCAAGAAATCTGTAGCAGGCCTCATCAAGACACTTGTAGAGTCATTTACTCAGGTTGGCGCTAAGGATTGCGATAAATTTCTATATCTAGCAGAAAAAGCGACCGTGCCTCTGCCTGTTTCTGCATCTGTATCCTCCTATGCTTCTTATCATTATTACTGACCTGATGATTAAAGGGAGTAGAGGGGCTGAGAATTTGGTCTTTAAACACAGAAAGGCATCTTGAAATTTAAGGTTAACATAACAATCTAGCCTTGATGTTGATAATTACAAATCAGATTTGGTGGTTCTCTTTTTAATTGGAGCTGTATATGATGTTTTGTTTATAAGTTAATCGATTTACTCATAGTGAATCGTGTATGGGAATGAATGGCTAGTTGCATTATGGAAAGTCGGAAAGATGCTTCTTGGGTATTCTTGATATTGCATTTTTAGTTTCTAAGTTGTATCTATCTCGGTTCAATTGGTCAGATAGTTACTTACTTTCACCTTCTTATTGATCATACCTCGAGTTAAAACTTTTTTTTTTTTTAACTCAGTGATACTTGCCATGAGTATCTAATTTAATTATAGTTATTTGTTATGCGTTAAAACCTGAAGATTTATCACCACCAGGAATGGAGTATTTACATTCAAACTTGTCATGCGGAGTATATGTGAAAAGAAAAGATTAGTGGAAATTGAAGATGCCCACTGCCCAGTATGTTGTTCCCCTGGAAAAGAATAAAAATGTCCTTATGTGCCGTTTGATTTACTTGGTTGTTGCCTAAGTCAAGTTTTTAACATTATTTTCCACATTGTGGACTAGTCATGCATGGACTTTGGTGCACCCTATTTTGGTTAAGATTAAGGTAAAGGATAAAAAGTCCAAGATAGCTTTCATCACTAAGCTATAATGCAATCCTTATACTATGTGCTAGGATTCACAGTGCACTGTGGATCCTGGTGCATGTATACGTGTCTTTTGTTGCCTGAAATAAATTGGTAATTGTGTCTGAATTTTTGTCTTTGTGTTGGTAAAATTTTGAATTTTTGTGTCTTTGTGTTGGTGAAATTTTGTGCATATGAACACAAGTTGTGTATGTGTTTGTGTTGTGATTTTTTGTTTTTTGTGTAATGAAATTTTGTACCTTACGAGTATGAATTCTGTACCTCGTCGTTTCGATCCAGGGTCCATAATTTTGTTATGTGGATCCTAATCCATGATATAAATTACCGCAATAATGCAACCTTATCTCTATGCTACCTGGGGTGGTTTTTGTTTGGTCCGCCGGGAGTGGGCGACTTTGTCAATGATAGATACACACAGAAACGTTGAAAATTATGTGCAACTGATTTCCATATTCATTCGATGCAAAATTAAAAGTGGAAGAAAGTGGAAGGAAACTGTGGGGTTGACTTGGGGCTGCCAAGTCTTGCTGGATACGTAGAACTAGCACTATAAAGTAAAGATTCCCATTGCAGGAATCTTCATCTTTCTCCATTGCATGATTATGGCTATACACCTTTCTTCTTCTTCTTCTGTCATCTTTCCTTTACCTGTTTTCTTACTTCTCTCTATATTTTGCTTATCCTCAGTTTCTTCTTCTTCCAATATTCCTGAAATTCCATACTCTTATCACTGCTCTTCATATGTATCTGAGTCTACCCCGACTCAACGTGTTCATCATTCTGACATTTTACCTTACCTCTCCACTGCGAGTAGCTACTACCATGGCGGTGAGAGTTTATGGACCAGTAAATCACTTGGTCAGTTGTCTAATACCTCCATCAATTCTCTTACCTTCCAGCCCACCCAGAAATCCGCTTACACGACAGAGGATCCTGAAATTTTTAAACTTAAAGCGTCCTTGACGCTCAGACCCTCTTATGTGGAGGATGATTCTTATAAATATTCCAGATATGGATCCTATGGGTGGTCGTATTATGCTGCTGGGAATTACAGTGGGCCACGGGAATTGTCGTTCCTCTTGAGCGGCTATTTCTCGGAGAGTTCTGGGAAGCTTTGCATGGTGGGATCAGCTTCCTGGTATTCCAAGGAAGGGAAGCCTGAGTATGTTGAAGCCGTTCTCAGGCTCTCTTTTGCAAAGAAGAACTCCGACATCTCCAGCGGTTTTGTTCATGGAAGCCTGCAGAGCCTGGGGTCAAACAAGGATTCGAGGTATTTTGAGGAAATTAAGATATTTGCTTTCACTGATGTTGAGTCCTACAAGTATTCACTGGCGTCCAAGGATCTTGGAGCTGTCTGCAAAGGCGGAGTCACAACTCAGAAGAACCAATCACTTAGCGTGCGGCGAAGAAGCTTTTGCTCTGCAATTCGGGAGAATTACGGTAGTTTTGAGTTGGAGCATGCTGGGGACTGTAAACCTTCAAAGAACTGCAGCCCTGTGGATGGGGTTTTGGGATATTCTCCTCGCTTCATGTCCCTGAATCAAATTCAATGTTCTGATCAAGAAAGAAAGGTGAGATTCATGGTGAAGTTCCAAAACACAAGCTATGATGATTATTACCGAGGTTTTAATCCCAACACAACGTTTGTTGGAGAGGGATCATGGGATGACAGCAAGAATCAGTTCTGCATCGTGGCTTGTCGAATCTTGAATCTGCCCGGAGATGGTGGTGTCGGGGATTGTTCTTTAAGGTTGAGCTTGAGGTACCCTGCTGTCTGGACAATCAAAAATGCCTACAGAGGTGTGGGAGAAATGTGGACAAACAAGACAGCCCAGGATTCTGGGTACTTCCAGATGATGAAGTTCAGAAGCACTGAAATCAACATGGATGGATATTATTATTCTCTTCCAGGTCTAAGCTACAAGTACACAGAAACAGAGAAAGTAACAAAGCAATGCCCGCCACTCAAGGCCGCCATGAAAGATGAGGAGAAATACCCAGATGGGAAATCTCGTGATATGAGACTTGACATCTCTGTCCAATATTCTAAACAACAACACTCCTCGACCTGGGGCAGTGCATTTCCAATCTTTGCTGGTGATGAACTCTTTGAAGATAATTATGTTCAAGTATCTGAAATTTCTGAAGTTGGCGGTGTTGAAGCTGAATTTTATGGATTTAACACAAGTTCTCAGAAAGTCAGTTCTAGCAGCCCTTTGAAAATGAGTTACTTGATCAGCTTCTATGCATCTTATATCGATTTCACAAAGGAGATTGCCTCGCTAAATTTATCTCTGAATTCTAGAGGTAAAGTAGAGATCATTGCTGAGGGGATTTACCATGGCAAAACGGGGCATCTGTGCATGGTTGGGTGCAGAAAGCTGGAATTTCAGACTCAGAAACCAGAACAGGATTCTCAGGACTGTGAGATTCTTGTTGAATTCGACTTCCCCTCAGTAAACGCCAGGAGGAGAAACCTGATGAAAGGAAGCATACGAAGCACACGAAAGGCGTCTGATCCTCTCTACTTTGCGCAGCTCAACATTACTTCAACTGCTTACTACACTAGGTACGCCAGGGAATCGATATGGAGGATGGATTTAGAGATCATAATGGTGTTGATTTCCAACACCCTCGCCTGCATCTTCGTCGTTCTACAGCTTTTCTATGCGAAACGCCACCCTGAAACGCTTCCTTTCATGTCACTGCTAATGCTGGTTGTCCTCACCCTGGGCCACATGATCCCTCTGGTGCTCAACTTCGAAGCCCTCTTCTTGAGCAGCCATCAACGAAGAACACGACGCTCCATGTTTGGGGCGGATGGATGGATCGAAGTGAACGAGGTGATCGTGAGGGTGGTCACCATGGTAGCCTTCCTCCTGCAAGCCCGCCTCCTGCAGCTAGCATGGAGCGCGAAATGGGAAACCGGGAATGGAAAAGGGCTGTGGGTATCAGAGAGGAAAACAGTGTTTGTTTCCTTCCCTCTTTACATTGCAGGTGGATTGCTCACCATCCTGGTGAAATGGATGTGCAACAAAAACATGGCTACAGGGACAACATTATCTTATTATTCTCCCTATCAGGACAACATTAATCCACAATCTTCCACCTGGGGTGGTTTAAGGTCATACGCAGGATTCATTCTGGACGGTTTTCTGTTCCCACAGGTTCTCTTCAACATCTTCCACAGCTCAAGAGAGGCGGCGCTGTCGCGGTGGTTCTACATGGGGACCACCTTAGTGCGCCTGCTGCCACACGCGTATGATCTTTACAGGGTTCACAACTATGCTGCTGCCATGGAAGTAGAAGGGTCGTACTTGTACGCGAACCCGAGGGCGGATTTCTACTCCACGGCTTGGGATATCATCATTCCCTGCCTGGGAATGCTGTTGGCTGTGATCATTTGGTTGCAGCAGCGGTTCGGTGGCCGGTGTTTGCTTCCCCGGAGGTTCAGAGATTCTGTGGCGTATGAGAAAGTTGTGGCTGATGATAGCGGTGCATAGTTGTTGTGGTGATTTCAAGCCTCTCATGTTTTTGGACTTTACAAAGCTCATTTCAAGATCAGAGTCATTTTTCTGGCTCTGGCTGACTATGTTGTTATGTGTTTAAACCTGCACTTTATCTACTTTGCAATGATATAAATATTGTGTTGTTAGTCCTACCTAGTTCACTTTGGCAAACTTTTGTGAATGAGAAGCAAGTACTCTCTTGAAAGCTAAATTATAATGTAATTAGCTATCAGCTAACAACTAATTTACCAAACATCTTTCTACAATCCGCTAATGCTATCAACTAGTCAAACTCACTAACCCAATCAGCCGCTATTTGCCAAATCTTCCTTTGAAACATGGTTATTTATTTGTTTTTTAAAAAAGGACACACATGCACAGTTTGAGACAGTATGTATCTGATGGCAGAAGAAGAAGTTACCAAGATACTGGGAAAAAGGGTCTCCAATTTGTGTGGCTATTCATTCTTGTAGGACTGAGTGTTGTTTATAGAGTGGATAGATGTTCATATTTTATCCTCCGGCGTGCAAGTGATTAAAGTTGATCACGAGACTCATGGTGTTGACATCCCGGAAGACGTAGATAAGATAGAAAGCTTCATGCGTGAACGCAACTTGTCATAGTAAAACCGCAGACCGCGCTATTCCCTTATTCAAGGATTTTATCATTTCGCAATTTTTATTTTTATTTTTTAAATTTCATAGAGATTATTGTAGGTAGTGCTAATATTGATGCTTTGATGGACCAAATAAAATAAAATAAAATAAAATGTATTATTGACGTGAACCAAACATGCTCTTAGAGTATTATTTTTGTAATCTAATTTGTAAAAATTGAACAAAAAAAAAAAAGAAAGAAAATGTAAGTCATCTTTTAAAATCAATGTTCAATTAACACTCATTATGTTTGTTTTTTCATTAGTTAAGCATCAATAGTTTGGTTATTTCTTTTTGGAAAAAGACAATTTTTTTTTGAATTATTGGGAATTAGTTGTATTTAATGTTATTATCCATATAATTTTTTTATCCATCAATTGTTTCCAAGTGTTATACCCAATTCTAACAAAACTCTCGGACAAAAATAAAAATCACTTTGTAAACAATTTACTTAAAGTATCTTCCGTTCCGCAAGAGAATATTGCCATCCACCTTAGTGATTGTCATAAAAGTCATTAATGAATTTCTTCAAAGCTTTCCTTTGTTGATAAATTGTTAAATGGTGAATGGATATGAATGAAAGATACTCCGTACTAGATAATTTTGATATTTTGATACTATATAATTTTGATATTTTATCAAAGATCATAACATCTTGATTTTAATTGTTAATGATTTTTGTGTTGGTGATGTTGACAAAATGAGATTTTGTTTTTTTCAAAAAAGAAGAGTAATAATATATATAGGTAAAAATTGTATTTACTCATTCTTTTACTCTATTTTATACTTTTTAGTTTTTATTTTCTTTCTCTAATAAAATTAATGTATATGACTGGAGCAATCAAAATCCAAAGAAATAGGCCCACGCGCAGGTGGGTTGAGTCCAAGTGTCACTTGGAGAGTAAAAAACGGTCACACGCGCCTCCATCTCTGTCCAATTTCCTCCGTCCACGCCGCTACGAGGGGTTAAGAATTAAAGCGCTTCCACCCTTTAAATGCACAAAATCTTTTTCCCCTTTCCTATTCATTCACCCTCTTCTCTTTCTCGATTCTCCAATCGCCATTAATGCGCTCCTTCTCGGACAAGCCGGACTTCAAACAAAATTTTCTACGACCTCTGCCGATTTCCGTTCGACCTATCGTTTCCAGTTGATTCTTGTACCGGTACGTTCTTCAATTCCTCTCTCATTCCATTCATGTTATGTATTTGTTTTGTTTTATTTATCCGCTTCCCGTTCTAAAATTGAGCAGAAACGCGACATTGCGATGATTGATTGATCTCATCTCTGATTATTTGGATGCCTTTGTTGCATTTGCCTCGTTTTCTTAGGGTTTTGGTATAATCGAAATGAAAGATTTTATGATTTAAGCAATTGAAACGTGGAATTGATGTTTGAGCTGGTGGAAAAAGATTACTCCGTTGTATTTAGCGTAACCAGAACAGGAAAAACATTCTTTGTTAATAAATGTTATTGTTAACGGCGTTTTCATTCTATGTGCTAACTTTGAAGCTTAGTAATTAGAATGGAATTTGAATATCACAAGTTTTGATTCAAGGCGAATTTCAATAGAGTTTTGGAAGGGATACTGTTGTTCACATGTTCTTGGCGTTAGACCAAATAAATTCAGGCTGTTTGAGTCTTTATTTGTTATCTGAAAAATCTGCCTTTAGTTTATGAATAAGTTGATTTGTTTGTTGCTGGTGAATTGCCTGTGATTGAAGTTGATAAAATTATCAAATGAAGTGATCCCCAGGGATTTTGTGATTTTTATGACTACCCTTGTTTTTATCTTGTTTGGCTACAAGTTTCTCTTTTAACATCATAGCCAAGTGAATGATAAGAAAATGACAAGAAAAATTATTCAGTATGTACTTTATATGCCAAGTGAATGATCAATTTGCTGTTTTTCTTACTTTGAGCAGATATCATGGCATTTGAACAAGGCTTTCATGAGCCCATTATGCATTCGGGAAGTGATGGAGATGTTTCCCTTAAACAAAAGAAGGATGCAACTTCTGTTCCAAAAATGGTCTCAGAAGATGCTAAGAGCTATTTTGATTGCAACATTTGTCTAGATCCTGCCCATGATCCTGTGGTTACTTTTTGTGGTCACTTGTACTGCTGGCCTTGCATTTACAAATGGCTCGAGGTCCAGAGCTCCTCCACAGAATCTGCGGAGCAACCTAAATGTCCTGTTTGTAAGGCATGTATCTCAAAATCCACGTTTGTCCCCCTTTATGGCCATGATTTATCATCATCAGACTCCGATTCCAACAAGTTTCAGCTAGACTTGCCCATTCCTCAAAGGCCACCAGCTCTTGGTGTGAACATGGTGCTAAACACTTCAGCTCCGAACTCAATCCTAAATCCACAACTTCAGCCCAACCATTTTCATCCTCGGCCACCATCATTGTACCATCAGCAATACTTCCCCCATGCCTTTGGCAGCTATGCTTCAATGGCACCATCTGGCTTTTTCAGCCCCACCATTGGGATGTTTGGAGAAATGTTCTCTGCAAGGACGCCTGGAAGCATGGACACAACTTTACTTGCTTATCCAAGTTCCAGTGGTACCACCCCTAGAATGAGGAGGCAAGAAATGCAGGTGGACAAGTCTCTGAACAGATTGTACATCTTTCTCCTCTGCTGCCTTCTCGTATGCCTTCTCCTATTCTAACATGGAATTTAGAGTGCACGGGCGCGAGATTTGCGCCTCACGCGAGGCAACTTTGCTTTTTTTTTTTCTTTCTTGATAGGGCCCAAAGATATGACAAAAACCAAGGTCCTTTAGCAAAGATCAAACTTTCTCTCTTCTCTCTCTCCCCTCCACATAAGCATTGCCTCCTCAAAAACCACTACCACTATTGTGGTTGCCCCGAGTTCTTTTCCTTGTACAGTTGTTCGACTATAAATTCCGTGTCAGAGCTTGCCAACAGTTATAGCATAGATATTACTGAAATATATACGTAGCTTAGGTTTCCAGGAGAGATTACAGTGAACAAAGACATTCAAGAAAAAGGTTGCTTTATTTTCTGTGATCTGCTTTCGTGCACTGGATATTGGAATCCACTTTGATTGTTTGACGGCTTACATTCGGACACTTTTATCAACGTCAAAGCTTGTAAGTAGTTGTTTGCTCTCAAATTCTGTAAGGCCCACTTATATGGGTGGTTATGTATAATATATTATATAGACTTTATTTTTATTATTATTATTATTTTGGTCTCACGACTATTAGTTGTTTTTTAAATTTTGTGCAAGCAATCTGTCCAAAGAGCCTTCCTACAAGTTGCAGTATTTGGGTAAATTCACCCTTAAAGAGAAGAAAATGTTAGTGATAATATAGCAAAGAAAGAATAAAGTCTTGGAGTTGAAGATGAGAAGTGGGTTTAGCTAAACTTTTCCATTTCGTGAGTGAGTTAACGCATAGAGAGAAATCCAACTCAGTTGCCTGCCCCTGGGATGATGGCGATAACCTTCAAGCAGTAGAATAATTATAATTTAATGAATAGCATATTGTAGATAACTACCAATTTCACATATGTTCCTTGTCTCTATGTCAAGTTGGCCACTGAACTTATTGACAATTTATATCCGGCCTAGACCGGGGTCCACTCTCCATAGTGCACTATAGATCTTGATTCAACACACATAATTTGACTTCATAATGTACATAATTCTCATAATACACATATATATAAACACAATATAATGAAGACACATAAACACTTAACATAATACACAGAATTTATATTCATAATGTACATAATTCATGTTCATAATGCATAGAATTTATGTTCATTATATCATGTTTATGTGTATGTGAATTATGAACATTAATTCTGTGCATTATGAACATTAATTCTGTACATTATGAAGTCAAAATTATGTGTATTGAACCAGGTTCCACGATATAACAATTGGAACTTATTGTGCAATTCGATCAATAAACTTAAAAAGTATGCAATCAAACCATTAAACAAGAAAAATATAAGCAATTAAGATATTTTTCTAATTTTTTCTAGTAGAATTTGATTATATTGATTACATATATAGTATGTAATAAGAGTCGTCCATCCTTTGCCATACTAGTTGGGAGGAAAGAATAAAACGTTTTCCACTCAAATTGCAATAAAAGAAATTCAAAAAAAAAATCTCAAATGCACAAAATTTTCTTATTTGATAGTTTAATTACACATTTTTTTAAGTTTAATGACCTAATTACATAAAAGTGATAAATTCAATGGCGAATGACACAAAAGCAATAACCTAATTCATCATTTTTGTTTTGAGCATTATATTTTTATTCCCATTTTTTCCCTTCATCTTGCTATTAGAGTATAATAAGTTGAATAGTTGATGCTGCATTAAAGAAAGCACAGTTTGTGACAGATTGGTGGGTAAGATGTGGGTTTAATTAGAGCATGTGCTCGAGAAGAAATGGATCTGACATGATTTGATTGTGTTATGTGTAGTATGCTTGAAATTACATCCAATTTTGTGCCACGTACCAGTTCATTTTGACAGGAAAACGGGTAAAATGGATTTACATATTTGTGCACCAAAAGTTAAAAGCTTTTAAAGTTGAGGATTAAGATTAAAAATCCATTAATAATCGTGGAACTATGATAAAAATTCTAGCACTTTTTTTTCCTCTATCATAGCAAATATAGTTTCAATTTGACAATTTCAAATTGTCGAAGATTTGATTTAGGTTACTACTTGAGTTTCACTCCTACCTTAAATTGTATGAGTGGTTCAGTTTCAACTAAAAGTCTAAATTGATAATTGAATTGCACATTTATGTAAACTTTTTTATGCCAAATTGAATTGAAAGATATGTTCTGTCTCAACTAAAAGTCTAGAATAATAGTTCGATTGTAAATTTATATTTATATACGGAGTATTATATTACTCCGTATATATTTAACACTTTGGAGGTTTCTTTATTTGATTCTTTTGTGCTGATAATAACTATATAAATATGCATAGTTATATAGTTACAATTTGATAACATTTGATATTCAACCACTCGAAAATGTGAAAGAAAGTCTAGGGTTTTTTCAATTATATTTTAATTTGACCATATATTTTTGGTGCTGGCATGTTTTTCCTCAACTAATGTTGCACTTATAATAAAGGAAAATATAATAATTTTGATAAAAGAATGTAATATTTGAGATAAAAATATACATTTTTAAAAAAAATATTACATTTTTTCATATAAGTAATAAACGTTTTATTTCTGATTTAGTAATACATTTACTAGTATATGAATTACATTTTATAGTGACCCGATCCGACCCGACCCGTCCCATGAACAAGAATATGTTTCCTTAATGCTAAAATTATTTCGTCAACCTGAGAAAAATCAATAAATAATATGTAAGCAGATTATATTCCACAAGGCATCGGAAAAGCAGATTATCACCGACAAACTGAATTGTTAAAATACAGATTAAACGGCATCACATGCTCTTGCCCTTTCTATTTTCAACGTAACATGCTCCATGTCCTCCTACGACTACGTACGCCTCCGTAGTCCGTACCGCCAAATAACGCGCAAACTGAAAACATTAATCAATACCACATTGTTTAGGTTTTGTTTTATGGGAAACGATAGGCTTACGTAGCGGTGCAAGTCAATCAAATTATTCGAGAACAGACCGGTCCTATCATTTTATAAGTTGACCAAGAAGAGCCTAATAAAAATAAACCCTACATAAAGTTAAGAGCAATCTCATAAGTGAGGTTTTTAGATTGGTTTTTGTCATACTATAAAATCATCACGAGATGTCATCTTAAGTTTTGTTATTACATTTCACTACAAAATATTGAAAAAAGTTACAAATAGGCTATTGAACTATATGGAGATAGCAATTAAGTCATCGAACTCGAATAAGCTCCGAATTCATCTATGAGCCTGGAAAAAAAGTACATGTTATATTGATTCATGTGATAAATTTTGATCTTTGATTTTATGAATGAAGAAAAATAAATAAACAAAATTTAACATTCACCTTTTGTTCTATATCAATCAAAACATGTTATGTTGTTACACCCTTAGAAAGTAAAAGATTGAGTAAAGATGGTAGCACATGCAGTATTACTTCTGATTTTATTTTATTTTTAAATTTTTTTGTGTAATCACCGACAAACCGCGTCCCACTGTATACAACGTTGATTGAAAACATGATGCTATTGAATTGGTTCATTATAAATGGAGCTCAACTACTCAGCTTTAGCATATACTACTCAATTCAATTTTTCTCCAACAAACCATCCTATTAGGTCACTTCGGTCTGAAGTAATATAATGGCTGTGTCGATCCGGCAATTTCTTGAGTTTATTGTAATAAGTATTAGTGTTCTTATCCATGGGATAAACGGCCAAACGAACCGTTGGATTAATGGCCACGCAACCTTCTATGGTGTCAACCAAGATCCCTCCACCTTCGGTAAATTAATTTTCCATTGATATATTTTACGATTCAATGATCATCTCTATCATATCGTTAATGAATGAATGAATATATAATGTATGTATATGCAGGTGGCGCGTGTGGTTATGATAATCCGTATCATGCCGGATTTGGAGCACACACGACGGCGTTGAGCTCTGCGCTGTTCAGAAACGGGGAAGCATGCGGCGCTTGCTACCAAGTGAGGTGCAACTACAGGGTGGCGCCCAAATGGTGCCTCCCCACCCCCGCCTTTGTCACCGTCACCGCCACCAACTTTTGTCCCCCCAACGGCAACGGCGGCTGGTGCGACTCCCCCCGCCACCACTTCGACATGTCCTTGCCCGCTTTCCTCCGCATCGCCCGACAAGCCAACGAAGGCGTTGTCCCCGTCCTTTACAGAAGGTATCTATCTGAATTGTTAGAATCAAACGGTTACGAGTACTTATATCAAAAATTATAACGCACAATGTTATTTACTTATCGACTGCCATCACATTTTCAAAAGTCAGGCGCTACTTACCCCTTTACTGGTCTCTTTCAAATAATTATGGTAGCTACATAGTACTGAACTTGACCCTTACCAGCCTCCGCTCAACATTAATAAAGTTTGGAATTATTTAAACTTTATGATGGAATAAAGTAACAAGTATATATTATGAAAAGATTGTGATGAAGGCTTATTATTATTGGTGCAGGGTGGGGTGTAGGAGGAGAGGGGGGGTGCGTTTTACGTTGAAAGGGCAATCGAATTTTAATATGGTGATGATATCTAACGTGGGAGGAAGTGGAGATATAAAGAGTGCATGGATGAGAGCATCTCGGACAAGAACATGGGTGCCTATGGTTAGAAACTGGGGAGCCAATTGGAGCACCAGATTCGACATTCGAAGCCAAACACTTTCTTTCAGACTAACCTTGACCAATGGCAAGACCATGGCCTTCTACAACGTTGTACCTTCTTCATGGAAGTTTGGGCAGACTTTTGCCTCCCGCAACCAGTTCTAGCTAACTAAGCTTATACCACAAACAACATGCATGCACATATTTTATTTTGATGCATTGCATGCATTATCTGTTCCGAAAGATGCATTATATATTTTCTTTTATAATCATTGTTATACAGTTTCTTTTAAAAAGTAATGTTACATACATGTATATGCATGCTGAAGAGAGCAGGCACTCTTTATTGTTATGGCTGGTTTGTGGGCTTGTAGATTTGTTAAGGCATTATTATTTGCCATAATCATATAATCCCACATGGAAAAAATATTCCAAAAGCCAGTGTAATCTTTTTTAAGTTCCTTTAAATTTATGTTTCTAGTTATATGATTTGACTTTTTACTTAATGCAAAATTGTGATTTATATTATATTTTCATTTTGACAAGTAACTTATGATTATTTAATGACATATTTTCATTTTGACAAGTAACTTATGATTATTTAATGACATTACTGTTGTTTTTATAAGAAAGGTTTTAAGTTTGAGCTTTAACCAGACAGAATTGGCATAATTAGAACTACTCAAAAAAGTATTCATATTTCCATTTTCATATTTGTTACAAATATATATATATATATATATATATATATATATATATATATATATATATATATATATATTATAATTCGTTTGGTCAATGATAATATTAAAATTAGTCCTCTCAAATTTTTTCTCAATAAATAGCATTATACGGAAATCAAAATGTTTTATTTACCTATAAAATATATATTGACGTGGACCACATGGCGAAGCGATCTATTTCAACTTTTATATATTTTAAGTAGAAAAAAATAATGTGACGTTACCACGTTAAGGTAGTGCTGTGCTGATTAACAAGTTAATATGATTAATAGGTGAAATTAATGTGTTAATTTTTATCCTTAATTTTAATAATTCTAAAATTACAATAATCAAATTTATCAAAATTTTAATTAAGAAAAAAATTGTTATATGTAGTAGGTGATAAGAGACAAAGGGTGGTTTAGATAATGGCTTGTCAGCCAAAGTTTTGACTTGTTTGATCAATTTTAGTTGATTGATTTAGTCAAATAACTAAATTGAGTATTTGGTAAAACAATTTTTTGGCTTGATCTATTGATGTCAATAAACTAAAAATAAAAAAGATACTTCAAGTAGTTTTTTTTTATCAGCTTATTACATTTTCTTTTTTAAAATTTAATTTATCCCTAATAGTTTTTTGTCATTGTAGTGTTTATATTTATTCAATTTCAGTCATCGGCCATATTGTCATATTTATTCATATTATTTTAATTGTATCTTATTACATCCTTGACTTTCATTTTACTTGCCACAATTACTCCATTTTAATTTTTATCATTTCATAGTTTTTTTTTTTTTTTTTTGGTTTGGCATCATTTCATAGTTTAATAAAAATGACTAGCATGTAATTTGATCTTCCAATTAAAAGCGTTTATGAGAGAGGAAGAGATTACATGTTGGGGCAAGAAGTTTAAATGGTTAAATTACATGTAGGCCCTTTTTATTTAATGTTGAATGACTGATTATGGCAAGGAAAAAAAAATCAAAGATGTAATGAGGTAAGATTTAAAATAAAATAAAATGTAGGAATATTACAATACTTGATGACTAAAAGTAAAATATGGAGTAGTACTTAAATTTATCCAATTCAATAACATTCAATTAGCCTGATTACTTAAGTAAAATGGATAATTTTAAACTTAGCCCAACTTTTAAGTGTCTTGGCCCAAGGATAATTATGATGTTACCTACTATTGTGTTGCACGGCAAATTATGTTGTGGATCCGTGTCTACTTTGCAAGGTGGACCCGTGTTATGTTCACAATTTTTGAATTTTATATTCACAATTTTAAGATTATATATTCACAAATTTAGATCTTAATATACAAAATTTCATAATTCAATATTCACAATAGCAAAACTCTATATTCACAATTTTTGAACTATATATTCATAATTACAGAACACTATATTCACAATTTTATAACTCTATATTCACAATTACATAACTGAATATTTACTCGCTGAGTTATTTTCAATATTTAAAAAAAAAAATCAATAGTTGTGAATATTCAGTTCTAAAATTGTGAATATAGAGTTAAAAAATTGTGAATATAACACAGATCCACCTTGTAAGGTGGACCCCGATCCAAGGGCATAACTATTGTGTGTTGCACTGCATGGAAACGCAATCAAAGTCCAGGTGTGCATTGTGCTATGTAAAGTTTGAAGATTGATATTGAAGCAAGGATTTAATTAGATTAAATTGTATATTTAAGTTGTCTAAAGATTTAATTAGATTAAATTGTATATTTAAGTTGTCTTGTTATTCACAAGATTTCAAGTTCAATTCTCTATAGAAATTGTTAATTAATTTTCTAAGTTTGAACCCATAAGCTATGTGCAATTATAATTGGTTTTCCTATTTGTAGTTATTTAAAATTTTACTGACAAGAGTTACAAGACATGCTTCAACTGAAGTGTAATAATGACATGGTACATATCATTCTCACTATTATAAATAGTAGTCTATATTATTATCAGTACTATAAATAGTAGTCTTTATAGTGATAAGGTTGGTTGAGGTGCAATCCCGCAATCCAAATTTTGGTCATCCAAGCCATCCCACAATGAATCCAACAATGGCCTCCTTTGAGCATCTCAAAGAGGGGGGTTTTGCTCAATTTTTGTTAGAGTTTTGCAAGGTGGCATATATGAAAAGTATGAGAGAGATAGTGGGTGTTTGGTAAACGACCGTTAACTAATTGGATTAGTGAGTTTGACTAGTTGATAGCATTAGCTGATTATAGAAAAATGTTTGTTAAATTAACTGTTAGCTGTTAGATAATTACATACAAAATGATTTTCTCAAAAAGTTAATCAAAAACTCAACTTTGAGCAACTTTTTGAATTATAGCATTTTGGAATAATAAGTTGGTACAAAAAGCTAATTAATTAAACACTCATATTGATATTGTTTAACCAAGTCAAACACGGCAAATTATGTTGTGGACCCGGTCCACCTTGCAAGGTGGACTACAGGACTAGGTCCAAAACGACTCCATCTGAATTTTTTTTAAAAATTGCTTCCTTCATTACCGTTAACTTGCCATTTGTCATAACTCTATATTCACAATTTTTGAACTCTATATTCACAATTTTAGAACTCTATATCCACAATTTAAAAATGGAATATTTATAATTTTAGATCTCAATATACAAAATTACAGAACTCAATTTCACAATTGCAGAACTCTATATTTACAATTAAAGAACTAACTCTATATTCACAATTACATAACTCTATATTCAACAATATAACATAATTTTTTAATCTATATTCACTATATATATCATTAGCTGAGGAATCAGTGCCACTAACGGCACCGTTATTCCAGACGTGCAAAGGTGTGTCGTTTTGGACCTGGGTCCACCTTGCAATGTGCATCCGAGTTCATGGCATAACAATTTTCAAACAGCTAATTGAAGCATATGTTCCATCTCAACTAAAAGCATAAGCATGGCTATATGCTCAGTCGCTTATGGGTGGCGCAAAGATTTCTGGTTCTAATATCAAATTGAAGCATGTGTTCCATCTCAGCTAAAAGCCTAGGCTGATAGTTGGATTGCATATTAATAACTATATGCTCAACACAGCTACTAGTGATCAAATAAGTCAAATTTGATGATAGACTAACTATTTTACCAAAAAGCTAAAGAAAACATTAATAAAAGTATAGTAGCAAAAACCATTGCAGTCCACCCCAACGAACATGCCATCCAGCAGGCAACGCCTATAATGCACTTCCAACATCCTAAGCACCTGACACCAACCATCTTCCAACTCGTCCAGAACACAACCCCAATTTTAGTAAATGAGCAACTATCAACACATATATTATACTAATATGTGAAAGTGAGATTATTTTTAAAAGTGTGTGAGTATTATAGGAATGTAGACGATATAATGTTGGAAGTTTGCCAGTCGGCCGGAGGCTTGAAAAGGGATTTGGCACTTGCTCCTCCTTAAAAGATGAGTCAGCAAAAAAAATATATAAGGTTGCATTGGAAGTTAGGCAATTGGCGAGAGACCTGAAAATGTAGTCGAAACTTAGTTAACTCGCTCTTCCTTGGAAAAAGAGTTGGCAAAAAGAAGATATAAGTTTTGAAGCTAAGCAGTTAGCCGAAAGCTTGAAAAGTGAATCAGTGCGCGGTCAACTCGCCCTTCTTGAAAAAGGAGTCGACAAAAGAAGGAATAAACGCATTAAAAGGTTGGAGGACGGGTAAAAGAAGACAAATGTAAGGGGCAAGACAATAGAGTCCAAGCGGGATCGCATTGAAGAGGAAGGATGACATGAAGAAGGAAGGTTGAAGAAGTGATAACATGCTAATTTCCCGCGTCGTCAATAGGGTGAATTATGAAAAGTGAGAGACTAGATGATTGATAGAAATATATATACCCGACAGGGTGATAGGAGTCGGCTCAAGTTGTTGTAAGCAATCGGATAAACGCGCATACTGAAAAGAGCGCCATGATTTAGGGAGAAAATTGAAGGATGCACTTACCATTAACTAATAAATTGAGATTGTAGACTAACAGTCTCCATTTTTAGTTAAGTAGCTTTCAACACAGACTTGTTCCTTTATTGATTATTGTTTGCACCGGATTGGGGTGCCACATGACAGCTCAAATGAGTAGATTTTATTGTAACTTATTATAAATACTAGATTAATGTATTGAATTGGGGTCAATTTTTTACTCAAGTATTTATTTCTTAATAATCTTTCTTAATATTGATGGATTAACTTATGTTAGGATCTAGGTTCTTAAACACCAAGACATATTATCCTCTTGAATGACCTGCTTAATTAGGTATCAGACACGCCTGGACCCCAGATGTTCGCCACCAAGATAATATAATGTTTCATACACCGAATAAAGATATATAAATAAATAAATAAATAAATAAATAATAATAATAATAATAACGGATTAAATCTTTGGGAAAGCTACTTGTACATATTTTACAGACAAAAATAACACCACCACATTTTATGCCTTGCAAGTTGCAATGCAACTAGATAACAAATCCTGTTACATGAATCATAAGCTACCAACCAAAAGTAAAGCAAAACCTATGATCACATATATTAATGAATGTTTTAATAAGAATCATTAAATATATAACTTTACTTTTTGGATCTTACGGATGGGAGGGAATGGCAATGGATGTCGGCCATGTCGGGAGCAGAAACAGGGATGTCTGCCACCAACAAGGCTCCCCTTTCAGGCCACCGTTCCGAAGCGTTTCTCCGTTTGGGATATCAACACCTTCCAGTTTTCTGGTCTTCATGTTGTAAGAGACGAGGACGTCGCCCCATCCTAAGAAAATCATGTCCGCCTTAAATGGATGGAAGGCGATTGGAACAGGGATGAACCCCACTAGCACGTCAATATCCAGGTTGTCGGCAAATGAGATATCTTTGATCTTGGTTTTCTGATACAGCGACCAACTATTGCAGTCGTCGTAATCTCCGAGCACCCACGAACAGAAACCTGAGAACTGGAAATCATCTTCGGATGTGACCAGGACTTCGAAGTACCATAATCTTCCTTGATGTCCAATGCAGAGACTAGGAATCCCGTTATATATGGTGTTGTTACACTGCTGATCAATCCCGGCCGGGAACCCGATGATGCGGCAACGATCGCCGGGGGCGTGATAAGGATCGTAAGCAACAATCCCTAGCCGGCGATCTACCCAGTGCAAATTCCCGTTGAAAGACGCCGGCGTCCTTCGCCAGGCGACTTCGATTTCGTGATCCGTGCGCACCACGGCGTCCTTCCACTCGCCGGTCTCGGAACAGAACACCTCGAACTCCAGCGCGTTGAGACAGCAGCCGAGCCTCACCACTTTGAAGCTCCTCAGAGAGCCTCCCTCCTCGACTCGGGTTACGAAACCGGCGGTGCTCAACATGAACCGCCGCGACGGCGGCGGAAGCGCAACGCATTGCCCCGTCGTGGGGCTGTAGACGGTGAAGTTCGTTAGCGTAGTAACGCCGCACTCCAAATACACGCGCTGAGCGTACAGTACAAATCCATCGCTAACCGCTACGACGTTATAGCTCTTCCCCGCCGAGGCCTCCGGTGAACCGGGGAATGAAATTGCAGAGAGACTAGGAGGGCAATTCTCGTCATCGGAAAACTCGGCCGACAACAACATATGTTTGGGGAAATTAGAGTTTCCGGAGCCGGCGACATGGAGAGTACTAGAAAGAAGGGTCCAATGCTGTTCTCGAAATCGAGAAACATGGAAACGAACAAAGGAAGGATCGGAAATTAAAGAAAGTAACTGCTTTGAAACAGATTTGTACCTTAAAACATACTTGGCAGGCAATCTACACAGAATTTCAATCAGCATCCAATCTGGAATGTACCCATTCCTAAACCCAACCTCGGATTCCCGTTTTACAAGATTTCCCCTTCTCTTTCCCTCTGAAACTACTTTTCCAACATCAAGAACATCAAATTTTCTGGAAATTTCCATGCTTTTAATAGCCATAATATAGACTCAATAAACGAAAGACCAGCGGGAAACTAAGATGATATTCAAAGACTAGTTTATGGTGGAGAAAAATCAGAAGAAAACAAATGGTGGATAATACCTATATATTGATATTGATATTGATATTGATATTGATATGGAACGAAGTTCATTTCTGAGCCCTTTAATATTTAAAATGCAGTAGGTTTATCGTTGGATTCTACAGGTTCAACCGTTCAGGTGGCGCCCAGGCGGTGGGCCGTGGGCGGTTAATGGGTATCTTCCTTCCATTTATTTTTTTATTCTCCAGTGACGTGCAACAATTTATTCAAAAAAAAAAAAAGTAGAATTTGTAATTTCTTATTTTATTTTATTTTCAGCAATATTGAAAGTTACTTTATCTATTACTATAAATAAAAAATATAATTACATTTTCGTAAATAAAAAGAATCATCATTCATATTAATAAACATAATAATATATTTTGACATTTTAGAATTTTACTATCAAAATAGGTTGATGGTGTAATATTTTTTTAAAAATAACAATTTTGATTTCTTAATTATAAAAAGTAGTACAATAATTTTCTCAATTTTTTGTGTTACCCCCTAACGTTTATAAGTTGACCACGAATGTGTATTCTAGATGAAACTCGCATTGTAAGTCTAGCCGATAAAGAATCGGACCACAAAAGATATATCAATATAATTGTTCATAGTTGACTGACTCTATTTAAAAGGTTAATAGACAGCTTCTATACGAGTCAAGCTTGAGACCTTATGATTACTAAACAAACTAGTTAACTAACTCAGTTAGAATTTACATTTTTTTAACTTGTAGAGAAGAATGTTGCAAATTTATTTAAACATAATTGAATGACTTATTGTTTAAGATGAAGGATGAAAAAGTGTATGTCACTTGTCTAAATTTTCTTTAATGGAGCAGTTAGATTGATTGAAACTGTTTTTTTTTTTTGGAAATAATTGATTGAAACTGTTTCTCACTTTTGTTTGGACATCTCAACATCTAGCTGCACAAAAGTTGTCATTCCAATGGACCACTTGCCAAATGGTTGAAGGTGATGATGGCTCAACCAATCATATTTCTATTCTTTTATTACATGTATTTCTAAATCTACTTTGATCTTTTTCTTTTATTCTATGATTTAGGCTCTGTATGACAAAGATTATTTAAGAGCTTATAACTTATTTTAAACTATTAATAAGCTATAAGTTTTGTTTGGTAATGTTCTCAAAATAAGCTTCTAACTTTCAATTCTTTTTCCATCTTTATCCTTATTATTTTAAAGAAATGACTTAATTTATCCTTTCCAATTAAAATAATTTTTTCTTCTCCTTTATCCGCAACTTTCACTGCAAATATTATTATTATTATTATTATTATTATTATAAGATGAGATTTGCAACAATATTGCTACTTCATTATGAGATGTTAGATTATGATTATGCTAATAGTTTTATTTCAAAATGTTAATTTTTTAAAAAGATAAAATGTTAAATTTTAATAGGTAAACAAACTAATTTAAATTTTATGAAAATGTCCCTTTTAGTCTTTTTACATTTATCAATTTATCAAAAAGCTAATTTTACCAAACACTTTCAATCATAACAGCTCTTCAATTTTCAACTCCGAGCTTATAGCTTTTCAGCTTTCAGCTCCATTTCAGCTTTCAACTCATAGCTTATAGCTTTTCAGCTAAGTTTGTCAAACAGAGTCTTAATAAATAATGATAAGATATTTTTTATGATGTGGGTTTCAAGAAAAGTGTCTATATCAAAAATTTGTATTAGGAACTAGAAATTTATGTAATATTTTTCTATTCCAAATGCTTGAGAAATACAAGGTGGGATCTTTAATGTTGGAGATTGTTTATAGCATGGACCATATATTGATTGATTCTAATTGGTCAATTCGACAACGGATGCATACAACGACATTACGGCACAACCAATCGTATACTTAACAAATTCGTTCGTGTTAATCAATATGCGTGTACGACTTATTCCTTCAATTCAAAGAAACCTAAAGATATAGGGGTAATTATTTTTAGATGATGAAGAAAATTCGTCGTTATTATACACGATCGAAAAAATATAATTACACTTTTTGAATGTTTCACTTCATGCTAGGGTACTAATTATTGTTAATTTCGTCTTAAAGTATGTAACTATTTAATAGAATTATCATTTAAATTTCACAAATTACCACCTTAATGTATAATGCATAGTAATCCGTATACCTATCACTCACAAACTTGTCATTCTCTAATGTGACAAGTTGTAATTGGTTAAGATACGTAATTGGATTCTACTTTCACATAACTAGATTTGTAATTCATTTATTATTTTCAAGAGTGGTCACACTTTCACATCACATTAAACAATTATTATCTTTTGTTAATAAATCATAATTTATCTCTACAATTATTATTTTGTATCAATATATAAATTACAATAAAATATTAAAAATAACACAAATGAAACAATATGTATATAATTATTTTTAATAAAAAAATTATTTTTATTATATATATATATATATATATATATATATATATATATATATATATATATATATATATATATATATATATATATATATAATTGAATAGAAATTATATTATGTAAAAATTGAAATAAAGTAATTCATGTTATGTAACTATTCGAATTGTAAAACTAATACTTAATTAAAACTTACATATTCTTTTGAAAACTAAAACTTACATATTTGAAACAATTGTTATGTATTGTTTAGGGTATCAAGCAATGAAAATGTTATGCATTAATAATTTAATAACATAATACAAAATAAAGAAATACTTATTTAAAAGAAAAAATCGAATTAAATATAAAAAACAATACAAATACATTAAAAACAAAAAAAAAAAACAAAAAACAAAATATATAAATAATAAACACTAAAAAAAAGGTACAAAATAAAAATGCAATTTTCTCAAAATTTTTTTGAGTACCGACTCAGTTGCAAAGCAAATATAAATTAATTATCAAAATTTTATTCAAATATATTCTCTCTTTATTTTTATTTTTTTTTTGAAAACTTCAAATATATTCTTTTAAATATGTATGTATGTTTTTTTTTTCTTTTCAACAAAATAGTTTTTCTTTTTGTTTGCTAAAAGTTTAAGCAATAAATGACATTGTACCAACAAGTGCTTAGTTGAGTTATGTTTCTATATATTTGAAGAGATGGTAAATCGACACTATATATACATATATATAGTCATGAGTTTCTTTTCAAAGAAAAAAAAATCATGAGTTTCTACCATTCAATGTCAAAATATTTGATATTTTATTTAAAAATTTAAGACCGACAATGAATATACTTTATTAAGTGTTTCTTCTATTCTAAGGTATATATTTTACTGACCTTCAAAAAAAGGTATATATTTTACTTGGATAACTAAGTTTGTTTTAAGTTATTTACAACTATTTCTTAATAAATAATTTTGTTTTAATAAATATAAGTTATACATTTCAAATTACCTTAAAATCCATGTCCAAACAAAAATAATAATAATTTAAAATTAGAAAAGAAAATATTAAAGAAAAAGATAGAAAAAAAAAAGTTAATTTGATTGATGATTAAAAAAATAGTACAGTAGAAAGTATCTGTATAGCACCTAGTGTTGTCTGATATTATGAATTGGATGATTTGCAACCTCTCAAAGTGAGGGGGCTCCTTGTGCGCAGTGAGCACCGGTCTAGCCTCTATTGTTCATGTTCGGTTGAGTCACCATGATCTACATCCTCCCAAATATTCTGTCAGGCTAGGGTATGGGGGGCCCTTAGAGTTGGGGTTCAGCCCTTTTTGGAATAATGAATTGGATGACTTTTCTTTTGGTTGGTCTCTTGGAATCGGCGAGTTGTGTTGTGGATACCAAATTATAGCGTGGGTAAAATTAATAGAGCAATAATAAATATTTATTTTTTAGTATTTTAAAAATTTATTTTTAATATATTAAAATTTTGTTTTAAATTAATATATTAAAATGAACATGTAATAATAAGTTAAAAATAAATATTCAGTATGTTTGAAAGTGAAATTATATGTTTGTAGTTGTTTTATAATGTGAATTATGATTCTTCTTTTCAAAAGGTTGAACCTCCAATCCCAAGGGCTTCACACCCCGACTCGACAGAGCATCTGGGAGGATAAAATCATGATAACTCAATCGAACCATCGATACCTGATCATTCTTTTTAAATTTCACCCCTATAATCAGTTGAGCTGCACATGCAGCCATGTGAATTATGATCCTTGTTATAATGATTAGTTGTGGATTAAGGCAAGTAATACCAAAGAATGAATAATAAACGCATGTTCCGATGCCGCAATTAGTGAAAGTTAAGGAATCTAAAAGCCTTGTTGTGTACTGTATACATTAACATTTTAAGGAACAAGCACATGAACCGAGGAAATAAAATACGTGATCCTGCTTCACCGCCAAAACGCTACCGAGTAACCAAATGCAGAAGCGTCATGAACTTTTCTCCGACGCGTTTGAATTTTATATCATACGGAAAGTTATCCAATCATAACCGCCACAGATTAAGCTTAGTCCAATTGTTGAAACATGGCATGATCATTTTTTTGTTTTCGTCAATAAAATTGTTTAAATAATATTAAATATAAATATATTTTAGTTTATTCAGCTTTAAGTATTAAGTTCTTTTTCTTTTTAAATTTATGTGTTATTTCACTTATAGTACTTTTTTTAAAACTATCTCATTAATTTTAATATTATTGTGATATGTTTATTTTTATCTTTCGTTAATAAATATATTTACATAACATTAAAAATAATGTTATTAATTACATAAAATTATCTTTTTTTTGTTCTTTTTAGTAATAAAATTGTTATCAATACATAATTCTAGAACAAAATGTTAAAAAAAAAATAATTTGCAATTGAAAACTCAATTAGTGAAATTTAAAATTTGGGGAATCGGCGAGTTGTGCGGTGGGCTAAGGCAAGTAATACGTGTGGCAGACCGACTGGCAGTCAATGAATCAATGATACATGCATGCATGTTCCTAGGCCGCAATTTGCGAAAGTTAAGGAAAACATTTGGAAGGAATTTGAAGCTCTGTCGTGGACATTAAGATTT